CGATTGGTAATTTATCAAATTCATTTTCAGGTTCCTTTTAGTAACAAAATTACTGTTGTGAAAAGGAGCTCACTAGTAGCTTATAACTTCATAAAATTTCATTAATAATATCCATTGAATGGTGCAACCATATTATTAACTCCTTGACAAATGAATTTATGCTACTCTAGTTCAAATTTATTATTATTTTTTTTTATCTTTCAAGATATATTGAAACATTTAAATGTTTCTTCATGTTTTAGGTAAAGATATATTATACATGAAACAATGATTAAATATTTTAAAAGCTAGTGAAGAGAAACAAGTGAAACAAAGTACAAAACAAAGTTTCGAGATAACAGATAGGACACATTTTAATTAATCAAAATCATTATAAGCTGTATTAACGATATAGTACCAACTAGTTCACAACCAATTTAAATATCATGGTCGAGATATAAATATTATGACGGTTGTAGTACGAAAAGGAAGAAGGGACGGTGAAAAATATGGTCGGGTCCGAGAGTCAGAGATTGAAGATCAATATTCACCGGACCGGACGAAAGGTTCATGGGATATGAAAACGCACGCGCGAAACGCAGACCGAGAACTCGTTCGTTTCCCGGTGGAGAGAGAGTCTCGAGAGTTTCGCCGGGTTTCCGTGGCTTTCCTGTGGCAGGAAACCGTGAAAAGCGAGGCTCGCGGCGTGTCGGGTGGAGGCGCGGCTGCGCTCCTCGATACTCGGCCCGATTTTTATCGTGCTTTACGAGCCGCATAATTCTCACCAGCTAGCGAGCACGTCGTTGATTTTGCATCAGACAGCCAGTGACTGTCGGAGATACGCGCACGTCGGTAATACCGAGTTCCTTTACTCCTCCGTCAATGAAATCGCGAACTGTTGTAATTTCTAATCGGCGACGTGGTGATTCCTCAGAAAAAGGATATTGTCTGATCATGTCGTGTATACATTAAGTTCTTAAAGTCATTCTACGCTATTTCTATACCATCGTATATTCCAAGTCGAGAGAGAGTTTAATAGAGTCGAAAGAAGAAGAGGTCCTAGTTTGATAGGAAGGTGTAATTTTAAATAGTGACTTTACACGTGTTTAATCAAATTCTGACAATTCACATTGTCTTTAGTTTAGTAATATTGTTTACTTTGATTTGTCCTTTATTTCTAAATACCTTTTTTACGTTAACACCTCACAGTAACATGTTTTTCTGTGACGCAGTTGCATGTGATTCCATATTGGTCGGAGCGTAGGTAACGTTGAAGGATGTTTCTTGCGTTTCCCCGAGACTGGAATTTTACAGTAGTTTCTCTTCATTTGTCTCGGTGTGCATTTTTACTAGGAAAATAAGCATCGTTTAAGGTGTTTTCTTTTTTTCTTGATGTTGGTTAAATGATGTGTAATTGCGTGTACATATGTAAATGTTACATCCTTTGAAAGAATAGTGTGGCGAACACGTGTAATCCTCACGTACGAATACATGCTCATTTGTGGGAAAATATTATAAAAGTAAGATGTGATGAATAATATTGTATCGTCTATAGAAAGAGTATTATTGATATTTATCTATATTTTAGTTAGAACCTATGAAACAAGTTTTCTCTAGAACAATCGCATCGATTTAAAATATTTTCCTCCTTATTCGCCTTCTCATCACGAGTACACAGACGAATCTTATTTTAAACGATCGACAGTAATGAAACACTTGCGCCTGTTCGAACATGTACCTCTGTATAAATATAATACCTGTATATTTACTTTGAGTTTTCTAGTATCTCAGTAATTGGCCAAATTTTAAGGAACTTCAATTTCCGAATCATCATTGGGAAACTAACGAGGCAAGCGTTGTGCTATATCACGCGTTAAATTTAAACGGTCACAGGTGAAAGTTGAAAGAATGGATTGCAAAATGTGTGTACCGCGTGTATTTTTAGCTCTTTCAGTTAATAATCATCGAACTTTACTTCTACTTTTATTTTTCATTTGAATCAATTAATTGTTTAAATGTAGTCTCTCCTTCACAAATGAAGCAACTGCGTGGTTCTTTCTATTATTTGGACAATTTGTTGCCATCTTTTATTACCATTTATTCTTATGAAAATGTTAAGTAATGTCGATGATGACAATCGTGGTCAACTTATGTAGAAAGTTCACAACAACAATACGATCACACATTGAATACATAATCTGACATGAGCTTTCACTTTCAGAAACAGTTCAAATACAAGGGCCTAGAGAAGCTGTTCACGATTTACCAGAGAAGAATTCAGTATGGTTATCTGTCGCTCTTCGTACTCCTACAGTTGGCCCTTGGAATCATATATTGTTTGATTCTGATCACGATGGTAAGCAAAAAAAAAAGCTGTTCCAAAGAATCTAACGAATTATTCTAAATAATAATTGATAGACACTAATAAAACAAAGAAATATAGATTTCTAGTATTATTTATTAATCAACTTGGAAGTTTAAAGATAATGCTAATAAAAAACGATATCCAAACTTAATTTTTTATTTTTATACTTGCTAAAAAGAAAGAACTTGAATTTGAATTTCCCTCCAAATTCCATCAGCACATAAATATCATGGAATTACAATCATTTACAAGTTATTCTTAGTGAATCGATAATCTTCATTGATAAGTAGCAAGGGTCTGGTCTACATTCAAATTAATCGTAGAAATTAATCGGTTAATAGTTAAAAATACTTTCTGCACTCGGCGAGTGAAAAGAAACAGAAAAATAACGTTATAAACTTTTTTCGTAGGTCAGCATAGAGAATTGTATACCGGATGTAGTAAGCACCCTTATGAGCGCGTTACTCTGCCCGATAATCGCGCTTTTGTTCAAATCGAAAATCATCGCAAGGGACACCTACTTACCAGTCATGTTATCCTGCTTGATCGTGGTACTGTTAGTAGTCGGTGATTTGGCTGTTCCTTTGTACTATACCATCCTGTACAACGATGACATACCACCGATAAGGTAATGAACAACTAATGAGAACTATTAAATTAACTATTGGTCGATTGTGACAGGGCAAATTATCCTTTTAATTATCATTCGGCGACCTTTATCAGTTAGTTGGTTTTTCTATGGTTCGCTATTTGGATTCGCTTTCTCGAAACTATTAGTAATTAAAGATTCGCAGGATCGATATTAATGGCCATCGGTTGCACGAGCTACTTTTGTAATAAGATATTTCCCTAGGCACGTTTAACTTTAAATTTAACTTTAAATTAAAATTTTTGTTAAAAATAGATGTTCCACGATAGATGAGGAAGTACCATAAATCGTTATCTTTTCATTATTCCGCCAGGACCAGGCTAATGAAATTGCAGGCTTAATACCTCGTCGTTTATTTTTTTTTTTTTTT